CGATAAAACTCACGTCGCGATTGGTCTAAGAAATCTATAGCCAGTGGTTGTCAACATTTTAAGCATAACAAAATGTGAGCCTATTTCAATGAAAATGATTTACTTATGTAAAAGTACATACGAGGTTTTGTGAAAAATCTGTACGTGATGGAGAAAATGGATATCATTTTCGAATTCATCGTACAGGAATTACTCTAGAACATGTAAAACTTTCAAAACAATAAAACCATCGCAGGCCTATGTAATTCATTGCTGCGAAAATGCGCTTCGCACTATAATAGTGACAGTCAAATCCCAATATTCGATCGGACAAGATTTGTGTTTGGTGCTGTGAAATAGCTTCCTTCTTTTTAGTCTATCAGTTAAAAGTCAAATGCGCAGAAAACCCTCATGAAGGTTTGCGCGATTTATGGAAAGAAACAAATAATAACGAATTAATTTAAACCAATAGTATGCCTCCATACTGCTGTTATCTTTACTTTTCGCACCCCTCTTCTTGAAGTTGATTTGTTGTTTGTGGTGTATTTTAGGCGGATTTAAACACGAATATTCAAGACGAAGCTGGTGCTTTTTATGGAGTCACGAGCCAGTGAGTTTCTTTTTTTTTGTAATATATATAATATAGTGAAAAATGTATTGCAATACAAACCAGTAGATTAATTAATGACAGCAAAAACAACATTTGAAAGGGTAATGACGTCGGGCAGATATCGTGATAGGTTTTATTTTCAGTTTATAAATTATTGAATTCTTGCGTAGTCTTCTTACTGATATATTCGAATCAATTTCCACGGATTTAAGTGTATTAGTTATTTATTTACACGCATGCTGTTTTCGTTCAGTAATCGTTATTTTTCTCTAATACGTGACAGACGTTTCGTTATTAATAAATGCTCTTATATCTTCTTTATCTTTAGATACGAAAGCACTGAAAACATGACTATTACCTGTTCTACAAAAGTTTGCTCGTTTGGTAAACAAGTGGTAGAAAAAGTGGAGGTATTTATTACATTAATATTTAGTATAAAATAATGAATCAACTATTTTCTCCATTCATATTTAAAGGAACAGTGAATGTTCTACGGGATTTTTTAAAGTGTAGAACAAGATGAATCACGTTTATTTAAAGTAGAAATTTATAATGTAACTTCCTGTTAATTAGTAAGATATAAAACCTAGAAAAAATTCTCCGGACGCCCATGTATAAAAAAACACATTAAATACGACCATATTTGTCTTTTACATACTGATAAACAGTGTACAATTATTATTTTAAGGACGCTTTATGTATTTTCTTCGCTATTAAAGAGAATAACAAGTCACGTAATTCCGAGGATATCGGTATAAGTTTTCTAGGTTAATCCTTAACATTAATAAGATTTCCTTTGTACAAGTGTTTTAATATAAGAAACGTTAATTTCATGTGTTTGAATACAATAAACGTTAGTCTCTTGTGTTTGAATATAGAAAGCGCATTCATACGTTTAAAATCAAGAAGCGTTAATCTGTCACATGTGAAATCAAGAAGGGTTAACCTGTTACATGTAAATTCAAAAAGTGTTAATCTGTTACATGTAAATTCAAGAAGCGTTAATCTGTTACGTTTGAATACAAGAAGCGCTAATCTGTTACATGTAAATTCAAGAAGCGTTAATCTGTTACGTTTGAATACAAGAAGCGCTAATCTGTTACATGTAAATTCAAGAAGCGTTAATCTGTTACGTTTGAATACAAGAAGCGCTAATCTGTTACATGTAAATTCAAGAAGCGTTAATCTGTTATGTTTAAATACAAGAAGTGTTAATCCCTTATGTTTGACTGCAAGTATCGTTAATTCTTATCTCTAAGACGTGTACACAACTCTTATAGCACGAAGTATAAGACACAGGGCATCTTTTATAACTTAATAGCAAGAACATTTATCAGTTAACTGTACAAAATTGGTTCAACAGATTTTCAGTTAACCTCTTTGGAATGTCGATACATTTTGCATTTAATGCTCTTTGCCAGAAGCAGATGTTACTTCAACGAGAAGGTATAAAAAAAACTGCTCGCCAACAAACCAAAACTAAGAAATATAAGTCAAAATAGACGGAATCGTTATACATTTGGAGACTAATTATGCAAAAAAAAAGTTTTAAAAAAGATATGAAATGCGTTAATTTTTCGGATTTGATAAACAACAACAAAAACATTAAAAGTGCTTGAAAACACATTATTATTATTATTATCCCTCCATTTAACACTATTGTTGATCTACTCTACTTGTAGTATTGTTATTCGTTGAAAAGAGGATTAAAAATTCGATCACTTTTCAAACAATACTTTGCTAGTTGAAACAGCTTCGGACAAGTAGCTTCATTGTTGACGTCATTGTTTCTGACTTAAAGGTAAATATTTAAACAAAGGCAAGGTATTGTTACGACAGCGGAAGTCACGTGACGCTAGTAACACGTCATGATATTCTAGAAGGATCATGTCTGTTAGTGGCAACTCTGGTCTTTTCTACGCGCCCACTATTCTTGTATATAAGTGCGCCAAATAAAGCGAAATTAATTAATCGGGATAGAATTGCAGACAGACAAAAACGGACAATTAAGTCGAGCGTGGTAATGACCGTAAGTAAAGTGCGTAAATCGTTGTGAATTATAGCGTGTGTTTAAGTTAAAGTGACTGTGGAAATTAAGTGTATCGCAAAGTTGAGTTAAGAAAGAATAAACTAGTTTTTATTTAAGAAAGGACTTGTATCGCTGAAGTTTTTCGGAAAGAATTTCTACGGAAAATTAACAAACGAACACAGAGACGTAACAGTATAAATTAATTTAAAACTCAAAAGATATACAGCACATTATCTTTTGTTTCAAACGGACTTTATAACTGTAAAAGTATTGTTAAGACCCAATGCATTGTTCTTTATTCTACAATAAAGAATAAATTTAGATATTCTGGAGATTTGACTTTCTAATTTACTCTTTAGGTCAAAAATAACTGTCCTCAGTAAGGCTAGACTAAGGATGTCCGTTTGATCTATAATTTCGAGTTAATGTCGTGATCTTTTATAATAGGCCAAGCCGTACCTAACTAGAGCTAGTACGTATATATATATATATTTTCAGGAGTGTGTCATATTATAGAATATGTAATGTGTGCAGCATTAAGCCGATGGTTTTCCAAATGTTAATATAAATACTAAGCGTTTCTGAAAGGTGTTTCTTCATTCTTAACTTGTAACGCGTGAAGAAAGGACCATCTTCCAGAAATGCTGAGGCTGCTAGGTCTTTAAAGTTCGTTTTTTTCTCATTATGCAATTTTTTAACTTAATATTCATCACTACGTATTTTCTGTGTTTCATAGACAGAATATGCCCGGTTTGAGAATGGTCGGTTTGTGTTCAGGATCCATCGCTCACCCATGTGTGAATATATGATCAACTTTATACATAAGCTAAAAAATCTTCCAGAAAAGTACATGATGAACAGTGTCCTAGAGAACTTTACCATCCTACAGGTAAGGTCATGAATACTATCTTACAGAACTTTACCATCCTACAGGTAAGGTCATGAATATTATCTTACAGAACTTTACCATCCTACAGGTAAGGTCATGAATACTATCTTACAGAACTCTACCATCCTACAGGTAAAGCCATGAATACTATCTTACAGAACTTTACCATCCTACAGGTAAGGTCATGAATACTATCTTACAGAACTCTACCATCCTACAGGTAAGGTCATGAATATTATCTTACAGAACTCTACCATCCTACAGGTAAGGTCATGTTTGGTGTCTGAGAAGGGTTTACCATCGTAAAATAATAAGTTGGCAAACAGCGATTTATAAGCATGTTGGAATGCTTTATTTTTGGGGCAACATACTACATGTTTTAACAAAACATTGATCAGGTAAATTCATGCATGAATGGTGTCTTAGAAATCATTCTATAAGTAAGATCGTGAATAGTGTTCTAGTAAAATTCACTTTTTTATAGGTAACGTCATAAATAAACTCATAAAAATCTGAATTTTAAATTGCTTTTCACATTTCACATTTCAACAAATGTTGTTTTATTAGTTTCCAATCCCGACAGTTCGGATACCGCCTGAGTGGGGGGGGGGGGGGGGGGGGGAACAACAACAAAAAAACCTTTTCTCTGCTACTAGGAAAAATGGAATTGTTTCTCAGTAATTTGACGATGCTGATTCTAAAAATCGTGTTGAAAATTACTGATCACCTTTTATTTTCGAATTATGATAGATTTATTTAAAATATTTTTATATATTCTATTCATTGAAAATTGCATTTAAGAATGATCAAAAATAATAAGTAATAGCAATACTAGTTTAAAAAAGCAATAAGTTTAATAAGATTATGTACTGAAAATACATTCAGGCTGTGTTCAAAACTTTCACTATAGTATTATTTTTATTACAAAATATCTGCTTGACTTGTTGCGCCTTTTGTGTATGTTCTCAGTTTCACGCTGGAAGAACCAACAGTAATCTCCCATCATCATAGGATTCCATCGTCCTGATATTGCTGTTCCATTGTAGAAATATTTTGATAGAAGCGCTCACCATGCTCATCGCTCACTGCAACTAGATCATTTGGAAAGAAGTCTAAATGAGAGTATAAGAAATGCATTGTTAGTGACATCTTAGACCTCACTTTCCTGTAGTTTTCATCTCTGTGATTTCCTAAGAAATTTTTATCAACCAATTTGAATGATTTCCAGGCAGCAAGTTCTTTCTGATTGAGTACTGTTTCAAAATCATCATCCATCAGCACTTCCCGAATCTGTGACCCAACAAAGATATCTCCTTTCACTTTTACTTCACTGATTTTTGGAAACTTGTCAGACAGATATCTGAAACCATTACCATCTTTGTTCATTCCTTTTACACATCTTTTCATGAGTCCTAGTTTAATATGAAGTGGGGGCAGAAACACATTTTGAGGATTCACTAAAGGTTGATTCTGTTTCCCTGGTATATAATTCTTCTCACTGATCATTCCTTTATTTTGAAACAATTTTTATCACCTCGGCTGTCCCAGAGATACTAAAAGTAAAAATGTTTGATATACATGCCTAACAGGAGTCCAATAACCTTTAGATTACCACATATGTTCCACCTATGGTGATTATATTTGATGGCCTCAAGTATAATCTGTATGCTTTGATAAGTTTCTTTCATATTCATAGCATGAGCAACAGGAATCAATGGCTTAGTGTTCCCATTGTGCAAAAGTACAGCTTTCAGACTAACTTTAGATAAGTCGATAAAAAGTCTCCATTCTTGAAAATGATGTTCAATATCTAATTCTTCCATTAGTGCATCAACATTTGTACAGAAACACAAAGTATTTTGCATTCTGTAGTGAGAAACAAGACTTTGGAGGTGACTTTGGTAAACTGAAACTCTCATTCCTGGAGCTAATAAATTCCATTGCTGTAAACAAGAGCCAAAAAGTTCTTCATGATGCTTTGATAGAGACAAGTCATGAATCAGATCATATAACTCTTCTTGTGTGATCAGACGAGGCAGTTTATGTTGAGGTGCCAAAAGAACAGAATTACTAGATGAAGAGGATTCATTGTCTTCTTTGCAGGATAACTCTTCTGTTTCCCAATTTGCTGGTGGATGTGGCAATAGAAGACAATCCCCATGAGGTACTAGTTTCATTGTAGATGTAATATCTGGATATTTAATTTATTGTTTAGTTTTGCCTGAATATACAGAAACATTAGTCATGCAAAAATAACAGTCAGTTAGATGATCTTTGGGCTCACGCCATATCATGGAAACTGCAAATGGCATACTTTCTCTCTTCTTATTTAGCCACTGTATGAAGCCAGATGTGCAAACTGTACAATTCACATGTGGAGTCCAATGTTTTTCTTGGCCACCAATGTTACATCCAAAATATTGGTAGTAAGCTACCTTTACCTTGTTTGTAATGTTTTGCCTTCGTGAAACTGTAATATATTTTCCACAAACGTAGCAACAACTGTTTAGGTGATTTCTGCACTTTCAGACTTTACATCAACTGGAGGCAGCCAGCGTTTCAAATGATTTTCTAAAATATATAAAATAATTTATAGCTACAGAATTAGAGTTTAAAAAATTTTATAAAACAAAGTTTTACAGAATGCGATTATATTGCGGGTATGATGCGAGGAAGAAGATTGGACTTTGTTTTGACTGTGCGAGAAGCGAGGCGAAGTGACCAACTGAGTGAGTGAGAGGTAACTAAAAGAGAGGAGTCTGAGTCCACCTTTTTTATGCTCAGTCGAGGGACTTCTGGAATGTTCTAGCAAACTGAGCACGTGAAAGTTTCATGATTCCAAGGCGGAGCAGGTGACCGTGGGAATGAAGCAAAAGTGGTGCAATTCGCTACAATTATATCGAGAACAAATAGCATATATGAACAATATATTCGGAATTTTACACCAATATAGTCAATGTTTCAAGTTATAAACAAGAGAGAGTCCTCAATAGCCCTGGTACTTGAAATTCTTTTAGGCAGGATTAGAGTAAATTAATCTATGAGATTTTTTTTTTCCTTTCTATTAGCTACATTTTTCTGCGCCAGCAATACCAAGCGTGAGCCGCACGTATACCCGATTTTATTACTCATCAGGATCTCTACCAGCCTACCCTCAAAATGAAATTATTTTAGACAGGAGTAGAATAAATTAATCTAGGCGTGATCAAATACATAAATCGAAATGATTTTACCTCCTGAGTCTAAAACTGTAATTAGATGTAAAATCGGTCAAGAGATGACGGACATATGAGCTAAAAGTTGTACTTGGAAAAAAAATCGTAGCTATTCTATGAGCCGCTATGCCGCGGCTAAAAATGTATGCCTTGTATCTATTACACTGTCCATGTAAACTTAATTTCACAGCATAAATCTGTTGTACTGAGTTGATTGCATCGTATTTCACATAGTGCTGATAAAATATTGAGATATTACAATAACTCAAAATCTAGAGTTGATGGACAAATTCTGATTACATTTTAAAAATCAGCACCTTCAAATTACCCCGAATCACTCGAGTTTTCTCCAGTTGTAAAATGTTTTTTTGTCCAGTGTAATTTAACATGTAGTCTTACTGTTTCGCTTTATACACATGTTTCACTAGTTTGGCTTCATGTGTTAAACATATGTAATCTTATTCCTCTATCCATATAACCAGGATTTTTATTGTGTGTAGCAGTAAATGAGTTCTTGACAAAATATTTGGTTTTACACAAGTTGACAGTAACTTTATAGTTTTCACTTACATATTACATATGTTTTACAAAGGCTGACTGTGCTTCTATGGGCGGACAGTGTAATAATTTCAAGGTCTTATTAAGAATTGTGTAACTTTAGGCGGATGGTGTTTCTATAGGCGAACATTATTACTATACTTTTGTAGGACTGCATACAGATTTCAACTCAACTCAACTTATGATTGTAGTTTTAATTTTTATGTTAATGTGTTTTACAAAAGTGGGTAATGTTACTAAGATTCTATGGGCGGATGGTGTTACTAAGGTCAGTACTGCTAGGATGGATGATTTTATGTAACAGAATAGTTCAATATAGAAGCGAAAACTATACTACAGTACGTTAAATATGTACCAAACCATAATAAACACAGTCAGATGTATAATAATAGTGTATCTGTTTCTTCCAATATTAAGAAACAAAAACAAAGAAAAACGAAACATTATGTTAAAATTCTTTAAGGACAGATAATTGTAAAAGTAGTAAATTCTTGGCTATAGTATTTGTCCCGTTCAAATAATTTATAAATTAAGATAGTACGTGTGATAAAAACTGACCTAAGTAATACATTATGGCCTATGCTATAACAGTTGTCTCGTTAAAATAAGGGTTTTACTTGTAACTTTTTAGGACACATAATTAAATCTAGACATTGATGATGTAATCACATGTTGAGACACCCTACGATGAGAGCATCACCCTATTGAACTATCCGTTTATAAAAACACCATCCACCCTAGCAGAACCTACCTTAGTATCATAATTTGCCATCCGCCCATAGAATCTTAGTAACGCAAGCCACCTAGTAACACCATCCGCCTTTATAAAACACGTGTAATATATAAATGAAAACTATAAACATAGGTTGAGATAAAATCTGTATGCAGTCCAAATTAGTATAGAAACACTGTCCGCCTAAAGTTACACTATCTTCAATAAGTCCTTGTAATAATAACATATTCCGCCCATAGACACGCAGTCAGCCTTTGTAAAACATATGTAATATGTAAGTGAAAACTAGAAAGTAACTGTCAACCTGTGTAAAATGAAATATTTTGTCAAGAACTCATTTACTGTTATACACAATAAATATCCTAGTTATATGGGTAGAGGAATACGATAAGAATATATTTAATCCATAAAGCCAAATTAGTAAAACGTGTATAAAGTGGAACAGTAAGATCGTATGTTAAATTATTTAGATGTTATCACGAAAAATCCGTCCTTTTCAGGACAGATATTTGTAAACAAATTATGCTCTGTAAATAACGTAAAATACTGTTGGATAATTGATCATTCTACGAACTATGGTAACATTGTCCTCAATAGCATCATCCGCCTATAGTAACACTATCTACCTATAGAAATAGGCCCTCTGGTATAGAACTATGATAATACCCTTCCCCTAAGATAGCCGCACACTGTGGTGTCACTTCATGGAACTATGACGTCATCGCCCTCTGGTGTCTATTACGAATCAATTATGTAATCTTCAGGCGGCACCCTTTGATCTTCACATTCCCTCACTACTACTAATATATGAATGCGTTCACTGAATTTATATCAACACGTATGGTTTTGTTTTCACCTACTGTATGAAACTTATATCAACACGTATGGTTTTGTTTTCACCTACTGTATGAAACTTATATCAACACGTATGGTTTTGTTTTCACCTACTGTATGAAACTTATATCAACACGTATGGTTTTGTTTTCACCTACTGTATGAAACTTCGTTTGTACTTTCAAAATAGTCTTTGCTAAAATGCATTGTTACTTTTGAAGGATCCTAGATTTTTGAAATAATTTCCTAGGTTTTTCAATCAAACATTTGTTTGTTGTTAAGCGCAAAAACTACACATTGGGGTATCTGTGCTCTGTCCACCACGGATATCGACACCCGGTTGTTAGTATCGTAAGCCTGCAGCCAGCCATTTGGGGGCGGGGAATCTCGTACTTGACAACAACGGCTAGAGTCATTAAGATATTAAAATTAGAGGTGACTGTTACGCTAAATAGAGAGAATCTCAATCAAAAGAAAGTTAAAATAAATTAAAACTAATTTTGATCTAACCGTCCAACTCTGTGATTCCAAATATCAAAAATAAAACACCAAAATATTCAGAGAATGTAAGTAGAAGTGCTTTTCCACAAGTTAATCAACGTTGCTATAGAAAATCGTAGTTACCATGGAAACCCTAACTAACGTTGTTACAAAGAGGTTCATTGCCAAGGAAACCATACTATTGAACATGTTACAGTTTCATCAACTGGTTTTTGCGTTTTTGTTTACAAATATTTCGAATATTGTGCTGTTATTCTGTTAATCCATTTAAAATTGATTATATCCACGAAGGTTTCTAAGCAGTAAAAATATTTGTCTGTTAAAGTTATTTGGCTATGTAAACAACTTTGATTTAAGTTAAAATAATAACTTATTATTTGGAAAAAAAATTCTTTTATTTGATAATAGCTAGAACTATTGAATTAGTAAAAGTAAAGGTGACAGTCACGTTAAAGAGACAGCAATATTTTAACACTTGTTAAACAGCTAGTTATTTATACGAAAGTCTAACGGCTTTCATAAATTATTAAGGCTATCGAGATGTGTTGAGAAGGTATGTATTGTTGAGTACCAGTGATGAAAGACTAGTGGGTTTTAGAATTTTGGTTCTTTTCAGGTTGTAACGAACAGAGAAACCCAAGAGACGTTGTTGTGTACTGCTTACGTTTTTGAAGTGTCTACTAGTGAACACGGAGCTCAACACCACATCTACAGATTGGTGAAAGACTAAAATATCGACACCAGTTTCTCATTTTGTCATATCAGCTCATCTGACATCTTTCTTCAGTGCCTAGAATCCAATTTCTCTGTGGCCTAAGCCTGTACATAAGTTGTGATGTAGTGGACGAGCGTCACCCACCTTGTGGGAGCGAGCTAGAGATGATTTTTCACATATTACATGTTTATTTTTTACCCGCAACGAGTGGATTTTAGCACCGTTTGTGTTGTATTGCTACATGTTAGGATTTTTGTTTTGGCCATGACATCTTGTAACTTGACAAAAATAGTGGAAAGTTCATTTGTTTACATCGTTCTTCAAACGTGACGACAGATGTCAGCAGAAATTCTGTTGACCATAACCCCCCTAACAAAGACAGTTGTCAGTAGAAATTATGTTGATCTGAACCTCCTAACAACGACAGTTTTAATGGAAATCCTGATGACCTGAACCTCCTAACAACGACAGTTTTCAATAGAAACCCTGATGACCTGAACCTCCTAACAACGACAGTTTTCAATAGGAATCCTGATGACCTGAACTTCCTAACAACGACAGCTTTTAATAAAAATCCTGATGACCTGAACCTCCTAACAACGACAGTTTTAATGGAAATCCTGATGACCTGAACCTCCTAACAACGACAATTTTCAATAGAAACCCTGATGACCTGAACCTCCTAACAACGACAGTTTTCAATAGAAATCCTGATGACCAGAACCTTTTAACAACGACAGTTGTAAGTAGGCATATCCACCCTTTTCCATTTTCTTCCTGAGAGAATTTCCACACGACTCTTCCGACGACAGTTGTCAGTAAACGTGTTTCCTTTATCCACCCCTGTTGTCCTGACAACTGTCAATAGAATCATTACTCTATCAGAAATTGGATTTGAATGATATTTTTTGTTTAGTTTTGTTATAGTTTTGATTTTATTTTTAGTTGTGTGGTTTTTATTTGCTCTGTGAGTTTTATTCTTGTTTTTTTATAAAATATTTTGTTGCAAAATGCTTCTAAGTAGAAACGAAATAAGCGACTATATTTTCTGCAAGTGAACAGCAACTTGTAACTTGCATCCTTTCCCACATGTGAAAGCTAATATTGCAAATCAGGCAACTAAAACGATCTGCTCAGAAAAGTTTGTATCAAACTCCATGATCAAGAAATAAAATATGCTCATTTTTTTCGAAGAATTGGGTTCGAAATTGTATTTAACTAAAAGAATAACTTCAGTTCTATTTATAAATGCAACAGCATGTTTGGTTTTCTTCCCCACTCACTCACATTCGTTTGGTGATTGCTTCGACAATATATATATATATATATAATTGTCCAGTAAAACAAGTTACTGTACGATAATAGACGACATTTATAAAAACACGTTCAGTTGAGATAGGTGATGGAAGGCATGGATGTGTATCTACAATTTTAAGATACTCATTATTAAATTGAGTCAAATTTAAAAGTGGTCATCAGTTTCAGTTGTTTGATGTATGTCGTCTTCACCACAATATAGTCATCGTACTTCCAGTCAAGTATAATTGTGAAACAAATTTTGTAACTTCATCTATTCTACAGTTTTCAAAGTATTCTACGAAACAATAGTTAGTGCCACAATCAGAAGTCTTAATATCACTCAGAATATCCATTCTACGAAACAGTAGTTAGTGCTAAAATTAGAAGTCTTAAGATAACTTACAATGAACCCAACTCATATTTTAGTCCATATCTTTGTACTGTAAACATTCATATACCAGTGGCTATTCAATTATGCATGCTTAGGAAACTCTCGCTGTAGTTATTTGATGGCTTATTGCTTTTGTTTTCGACATTTGATGTACACTTTTGAATGTGTATGTCAGAAAGTATTAATTATATATATTATATATAATTAATTATATTATGTGTATTAATTATATTCACTTAAATCTTAACTTCTGTTACACATACTTAAAAACATCAATAACGAATTTACTAATTCTGCAAGAAACAACCTCATTAGTTACTATCATTTGATTGTTGTCTCTCGAGGCGGAGTGTATTCAGTTTATTCAACTTCACTAGAGTTTTCTTAGATCTGAAGTAAATTAGACTGAACTAACTTCAATTGACTGGAGCTTTCTCATAACTGGAGTACGTTAAGTTCAACTAACTTATTTTTTGATTGAAGTCTTTTTAAAACTGGAGTACATTTTATTGGACTAACGTCATTTGATTGGAGCATTCTTAGAACTGGAGCACATTATATTGGACTAAAATCACTTGACTGGAGCTTTCCTAGAACTGGAGTACATTATGTTGGACTAATGCCATCTGACTGGAGCTTTCTTAGGAAGGACTGGAGTACATTATATTGGACTAACATCACTTGATTGGAACTTTCTTAGAGCTAGAGTACATCATATTGGACTAACATCACTTGACTAGAGCTTTCTTAGAAATGGAGCACATTGGACTAAGATCACTTGATTGGTATTAGACTAATGCCACTTGACTAAAGCTTTCTTAGATCTGGAGTAAGTTATATTGCACTAATATCTCTTGACTGGAGCTTTCGTGGAACTGGAGTACAATATATTGGACTAAAATCACTTGTCTGAAACGTTCCTAGAACTGGAGTACATTATGTTGGACCAATGCAATTTGACTGGATCATTTTTAGAACTGTAGCATATGAGATTGGACTAATATCACTTGACTGGAGTTTTCTTAGAACTGGATCACATTATATTGGACTAACATCACTTGACCAGAGCTTTATTAGAAAGAAAGTAATTGACTTTTTAATTAAAATTATTAACCGTCTCTATCTATACTAACTATTACAAAACAGTTGAAAACCACATTTTTTATTGTTAATTATAGACTGTAGCAGGATTTTATTTTTGTCGAAATATAGTTTTTTTTTATTTAAAATAACTGAAAACACATTTCGTGGTTATTTTGTTTCAAGCAACGGAGACACGTTTCACACTGTTATTTTCTGTTCTTGGAGGAGTGAAAGTATGAAGTATCAAGTGGTAAAATTCGGGGCTCGATCCCCGCTGTGAAACAGCGTAGATAACCATTGTGCAGTTTTTCAGTTAAACAATAGAACTAAAATCGATGGAGCTTTAATCTCTAACAACACAATATTGGTAAATGAAATATTGGGTAAGAGATGCAAAAACTTTATTCTCGTGGAAAAAAAGAACATTATTTGGTATTATAGTTGAAAACTACAACAGTATTATTATCATTTCATTTAAGGGTATATTAGTATACATCAAGAGCACCGATAGGAATTCCAAAGGGTGTGTGTCGGGGGGGGGGGGGTAGCCATGTGGGGACTCTGTCCGTTTTTTATTTGTTTCCGTACCACGTACATACTATCCAAAAATGTTATCAACTGTATAAACTCGACAATATTGTATTATATATAATCTTACGCTCATGCACATTGTATAGGGATTTTATTTTGTACTGCTGTGCAAACATAAACACCCCTCTTTAATAGAATGGTATTTCCTTTCTTTGGCGAACAATTTCGGACCATTTGGTTTGGCCAATAATATTGTTTGGTGCATTAACCATCCCCATCCCAAAGATGTTTAAGAACTGACAATACTTAGCTGTTTTTTGTTTAAGGAGCACATATTTGTGACAGCGCCCTCTGTTTAAAAACTGGATGGACAATTTTGCCATTTGGCCCTACTCACTCTACTACCCCCCGTCGTCGGCTTGTGGTTTACAGTAAGGTAACATCAAAACTAACTAAAAAAAAAAGTTTAAGAACAAACTTGGGATTTTGCTAAAGTTTGAAAATTCGGAGGTGTTATTGAGAATATGCCCTTTGGAAAAGAAGAGGCTGATGGAAACTTTTAAAAACTTTCCACATTATAAGAGTATGTTTCTGTGTTCGAAGGCAATAGGAGTGACAGGAACATCTTTATTTTATTTTAGGTAAGGTATGTATTAGACCAAAATTCAAGCTACAAGACCTCAGTTTAACTAAAATAATATCATTGATAATGTCGTATTTCTTCAAAGACAAATATTAGAACAGTTTGTTTTCGCACGTGCAGTTTAAACATAGTTTGTCAGCTTACTTGTGTCATTTGAATTTCACACAGTTTGTTGATATAATCAATGATAACGCTGTTTCCTTTGCCTGGATGTGTGGTAACTGTGTCCTTCGTTTTTTTTTGTTTTTTTTTTCATAATTTCAACAACTGTTTCTTAGAAGTAATTTGAAACATACCTTTAAAAAAGTAACCTGAAAAGCTTAGCTGGAAACATGTGTTTGGAAAATAGATCTAGATACAACAGACTGGTCATCTAAGGGTTTTTTTTGTATAGATATTGAAGTAAGACTGCGTAAGAAAATAAAGTTTTTAAAACTTTCGTCACTGGCAAAACAAACTTCCAACATCGTGCAAATGTCTGTTTTTGAGTGTCTGTAGGACTAAAATCAAAAAATTTAAAAGTAAACATTATGAGAGTGTTTTCGAAAACAATGAGTACTCCTGTCCTTGCAGAGACAGTAAGTTTGTTAAAAATGTTTTGATGTAACAGGATTCAGCAAAATAAAGAAATACTGACGTTTTAAACAACATAAGTATTTTTTAACTATGTTTTGAACCAACATACACGTGCGAAAAATTAAATATCCAATTACTTGATGACTTTAAAGAAAAATGACATTATTTTGGGAATATATCAATTAATTAATTAAGTAATTTAAATTACTTAATCAATTAAGTAATTTAAAACTGAATTTTAATGTAATTTAGGCAAGAACACGATTTATGTTAGAAGCGTTTTGTTTCAACGAGATTCCTGAAACTTGCACCATTTTCCTTTTCAGTCTCTTTACGTTTATTTAGTTTTTTTATGTTGCAGTGCCATCTTATGATTATTTAGTTTTAATTTTTTTTATTTTCTTTACTGCTGAAGCGAAATTCAAACCTTGCGCAACGCCATCTTTACGAAATGTTAAATATTTAAATATTAAATCGTATAATTCGTAAGCAACGTTAACCCGTGATTATTTTTTAATCTAATCTTAAAGTTAGTTCGAAGTGAAAAATTATTAGACGGCATAACGCGGTGCCTTATAACCACTTTTTGCATATACGCGGAAGAAATTATTTTAGTTATTTTTTCACTGTTTTTTTCTATCATTTTAGAAGCTCGATTAGAACGTTGACGATCTTATTTTGGAAAGGGAAGGAGCAAAATGAAGATTTTGAAAATGATTGTGATTTCTGGAGTAAATGGAAAAAGCTGCTGTAAAAAAACATATGCGAAAGAATTATCATAATAAAAAAGTGAAACCTAAACTTTATAATATTTCTTATAAGAAATAATTCATTCTAGGCGAGTGTAAAAGTTAGCAACGTACTTTATATGCGAGTTACCAAGAAATCACGCTAATGTACGAAAGCCACTGGTACTAAACCATTATTCACGACATAATTATTGGTACTGGAGCATTGTTCACGATGTAATTATTTGTACTGGAGTATTGTTCACGATGTAATTATTTGTACTGGAGTATTGTTCACGATGTAATTACTGGTATTGGAGCATTGTTCACGATGTAATTATTGGTATTGGAGCATTGTTCACGATGTAATTACTGGTATTGGAGCATTGTTCATGACATAATTCTATTGCTGGTCCTTTGTTATCTTAATAACTGTGATGATCAATTTGTATCTTAGACCTCTACAACTAAACATCAACGAAATAACTGGATATTTTCGTGGATCAGGTTTAAAGATTTCTGTTTTTTTTTAATGGCTAAACTATTATTATTTATTCATATTCTTTACGTTGAACTATACAACTATCACTAGAATTTATTTTAAACTTACATGATTTTCTCTACAAACTACAGCTTAAGTTTATTGTTTTTTTAACCAAGTGTTTGCTGTTTGTGAAAAATCTAGGAGACTTCTGTAAACAGAAAAATTAAATAAATTTTAAAAACCAGAATTACGAGTTAAGTTTTGCAGCAATGAAAAAAAAGAAAATTATTTGTAACATACACACCTTTTCCACTTATAATTCCAACACAAAAAATGTAAATAAAATTCGAAACGTATTGTACGAGCCGTACAAAGATCTACTAACTTTTTTATCATCTACACAACAGATAAAAATCTTGTTAATTACAGTTCTCAGCTACTACCTACTCCGTATAAAC